GAGAGCAGTGGAGCAAATTTTTTATGTAGATATGTATGTTTTTTCAATGCCGAAAGCTACGCTTATAGACGATGATCCTTTCTCCCAGGAGTGCGAAATTTCGCCTCATCTAGATATGAGGAATTGAAAAGTTTAAAAAAGTCGATCTGTTGGCAACACTGTCTGTGCATCGAGAAGAAGGAAGAATAAAAGAAGGGAAGTACGACCACCTCAAGCGACTACCGGCGATGCCATATGTCGTCGATTCGGTATTTTTTAACGATCCCGGCACACGCCAACAAGCCGGGATCATAATTAGCCTGATGCATTACAAATGGGCTATTTCCAAAGAATTATTGTTATTTTGTTGTAACCAGAGACACGCTCCAGCCATTTGACGCATCGCCGATCTTCCTAATTGCCCATAAGGAACTGAAAATGTTCAACAAAGATCGAAAAAAGTCCGTATATTCATTTTTTAGATGCTATAAATGCATTCTAATAGTTCATTTTGTCAAAAGGAAAAGCAAATAACAGCTGATTTTCTAGTAACACTATAAAACTCCCCATATCTACAAGTGTTAGGGAAATTGGGGTAAGATGACGAACGGGAGACGACTAATGGCGAAAATTCGTAGCAGCACACTTGATTTAAATTTATCTTTGTGGGGCCATCTAAGGTTGCCAATGTAGCATTAATATCCAACGGCCATTATCTGTATCCGTTTGACGTTTGACGCTGAAGCGGACGAACTTATTTTCCTGCCAGTCGTTATAATTTTTACGTTCTTTATTTAAGTATTTTGGCTTCTTACAAGTAAGCAAATCTTTCTTAATTTTTATGAGTTAAAGGTTGTGGCTAGAGTTATATAGCGAGAGCCCCTCGTATATTTCCCTAATCGGTGTACTTATATCTTATCTTAGTAAACAACCCTATGTTATATATTGATGGTTGTGCCCTTCAGGCATCAGTTTAATCCTATTACTCTTCAATTGAACTCACTTGGTTACGTTTGCTAACATATCGTTGTTAGTCAAAACATTGTATTTATATTAGAATAAAGTATCAAATCGCTTGTAAGTCGTTTTTTAAAAACGCGATTCCGCGACGCGATACCATCATTGGCGCAGCTAGCAGTTGCAGAAGACTGGACCAGAACTCAGCAGAGGACTTCCAGGCTGATTTCAATCACTCACTTCTGGAACCGACGAGACCAGGAAGATCAGGAGAAGCCCAAGGACGAAGATCGACGCCAGAGTGCTGTGTCTTCAAAGTCTGAAGGTAATTCAAGTCGAATTTTCCTTGTCTCTCCTCTCACCTTTTTTTTTTAATTTAAGATTTTTGGTGCAGTTTTGTAAAATTTAATTTTGCTGAAGATTGCTCAAAACATCTAGTATTAAGCTAGTTCTCCTTCAAGAGCTACATTTTTGAAGACAACTCAATTTAGTAAATTTGTCGAGAGCTACATTTTCGATTTAGATTAGTTACTGTTTTTTAAAATTTTTGCCGGTTGCAAAATTATTAATTTTAAGGAAATGTTCACATTAAAATAAGGCTTAGGTAGAATCTCATTAAATTTTATTACATTCGTATTCACTTAGTATTTTCACATTTTTCATACTTTTACATTTTTAATTTTTACACATTTTTACATTTTTATACATTCGACATTTTACATTTTATTTTTCATTTTCTTACAAATCTTAAAAGTCTCTCAACTTTAATTTTCTCATACGCCCAGACCATAACTTTATGCAAGATTCTAATTCGGCTGTAGATACTATTACAAATTTATTAGAAAGCATGACTCTCAACAACGCATTGTCCGTTCCAAGTGTACAGGCTGCAAAAGCTATTGCAGATTTTCTGCCATATTTCGATGGTGATACCCAACAACTAGAATCATTCATCTTTAGATACGAAAAATTTTATAATACTTATGGTAGATCAAACGATGCCAGTTTGAACGATTTCGTCTTTAATGTAATTTGTTCCAAACTAAAAAGTAACGTTTACAACTTTTTAATGTGTAGACCAGATCTCATTTCTTAGCCTCTAATTAAAAATGCACTCAGAGAGCATTTCGGTGACAAAATTGACAGACAAACCCTTACGAGAGAATTTCTGCAATTTTCAAAATATAGAAATGAAACTATTTTGGAATTTTTAGGAAGGTATACGAGGGGCTCTCGCTATATAACTCTAGTAGTAAACAATTATAAATAGGTCTCACTAATTTTTTGAAGATTCGTCATCTTACCCCAATAACTTTTTTTTTATTTTGATTGCAGAATGCCGAGGAATTACCAACGCCAAACAAATCGTAGACAATGGGGTGAGGATTCCCTTAAAGCTGTGCTGCAAGCTATTGAGGAAGGTTCTCTATGTTGTAACGCGGCTTCAATTGCATACAACATTCCCGAAGCGACTCTGAGGCGTTATCGAAATGAGAAAGCACGGGGAATTGGGCTTCCTGAACATGCAGGAAGGTTTAAAAGTACTTTTAACGCTCAGCAAACCAGAAATTTTGTTGAATAATTCACGGACTGTAATTGCCGCGGTCTTGGATTGACTTCGATTCAAGTACGGAAATTAGCTTTCCAGTTTGCCGAAGAAAATGAGATCGAGCACAGATTTAACCGCGAAACAAAGTCAGCTGGGATTGATTGGTTTGATGGGTTTAAAGTAGCTAACAATCTTAGACTCAGGAATCCTGAGGCAACTCCTATTGCAGGCTTAAGGGGATTCAATAAAATTGCGGTAGAGAAATTATTTACAATCCTAAGAGAAGTTTAACAGAAATATAATTTTAAAGCAGATCGCGTCTATAATGCGGACAGGTCTTTGTTATCTACTGGGCCCACGAAACCGCCATGTTACGCAGAAAGGACAACGCCGTGTGGCCAAGATAGTCTCTGCTGAAAGAGGTTGTACAACAACTCTAGTATGTGGGATGAATGCAGTAGGTTCTTATGTACCGCCATTTTTTTGTATTTGCTCGCAAGAGGATGAAACATGAACTTCACAGGCTTCTAGTTGGATGACATCTGAAAGTTTTCTTGCATACCTGAAATATTTCACGATTTTCACGAAGCCTTCCATTGATGATCCTGTGCTGTTATTAGTCGATAACCATGGCTCACATATTTCCCTCCAAGGTATTGACTACTGTAGGGAAAAGGGCATAATATTGGTCGGGTTTCCACCCCACACACAACCTATCGTCTACAACCGACGTTGCCTTTTTCGGGCCCCTGATAGTATATTATAATCCAGCTTGCGATGCGTTTCTTGTTAATCATCCCGGAACAGCGATTTCTGAAAAAATCTAGGACCATTGTTTTAGGAAGCATACAGTAAAACTGCTACAGTAAATAATATTTCAAGCATACGGAATACAGCCTTTTAATCCCTTCATCTTCAAAGACAGCGATTTTACTTCAGCGGCAGTGCGAAGATCCACATGCGGTGGCTGAACCAGTTTCAGCAAATAATCGTCTTATAGAAGTCGATTTGCAATCTGATTCTGATGGTGACATTGCATTATCTATTATTGCAAAGATAATAGAGGCAAATAAGACTCCAGATCATAACAGACCAGAGGTATTGACAGTACCTAAACCGGTTGTAGATGAACTAGGATCCACTAAGCGGAAATTATTCATATTAAATAATCAAAAAAGTTTCAAAGAAATAAGGCCGATGCCAATAGTGCATCGAATTTCCACAACTCGAAAAAAAATGTCTGCGTCTATTATTAGCAACACGCCTGTTAAGAACTCTTTAGAAATAAAAGAAAGTGAAAAAGCTGAGAAGGAGATGAATAAAAAGTTAAGAATGGGAAAAAAGTGAACAGAAAAATAAAAAAATACCAAAGTAAAAGAAAGAATTGGAAAATAACATAATTTCTTCTTCAATATCTTCGGTCCCTGAGCAAGCTGACCCTAGTGGTCTTAATATCCAGATTGCGACTCATGAAAATGACTTTGAAAAATTCGTATCGCCAGCTTGTAATGAAATATTTGAAGATCGGCCAACTGAAAATGGGATACAGTGTTTATTCCATCGAACTACTAATGCGATTTTTGCATTTACTCATCTTACGCCAATACTTTCGCCATCTTACCCGTAACATGGAGTAAGATGACTAAAATTACTTTTTTTTACTTTCGA